ACTAGAAAAAATGAATTCGAAATGCTTATGTAACTTTTGCTTAGACTCGAGTATCCCATCATTTATATTAGAAATAGAAATAAATTATAACTCATGAACCTATTCAAAAGATTACCATATATACGGCAGTGAATCGCCAAAAATATTCCTCAAAATACTAATTCACAGTTAAAATGACCGTCGTAAAAACAGACAGAAATTTCAGACGATTAAAATTAAGGACCCTCTGTTGATTTTGGCCAAATTTAAGGACTTTTAAAGACCAAAAATCAATTCCGAAAAATCTAAGGACTTTAAGGACTCTTTAAGGACCGTACGAACCCTGATTACCGTCAATGCCACGTGTTTATGTTTTTCAATATTGAAAGCAGTAAAATCATGAGTGCATTTCTAATCTGTATTTGTATTAAAAAGGGCTGAAATTTAAAATATTCTTAATTTATCCACAAAATATCCGACAAAAAAAAGGCAGCACCAATAGCTCATAATAACAAAGCTCAGAAAATACAACAATTGAATCGTGAACTTGATAGAAGAGTTGAGTGAAATGTCTGCTTTCTTACCTCGATGTAGGTTAGAGGAGAGGGGGAAAACTTTTATCATGATGTCAATAATTTGGTATTTCCGTTATGACTCATTATTATTTGGTAGTTATGACGTCATTATTTGGTTAGTACTTTTCCTTCCATATTTCGTACTCAATGTTGCGGTTTCCGGAATAAACTGAATGTTTTTATTTTGAGAGGCAACACGGATTTTCGGTATTTGACTGTATATGTTTCCATAAACAAACATAAATTCCCACATACTTGTGTACAGGTACAAGTAGTTTTTTCTTACATTCTTCAGTTCATTCTTAACATTTCTGTCTTTATTCCCCTTCATGCTGAAGTGACCTTCACACACAGAAGTTTATTGTGATGGTACTGTTGTTCAAACAAATCACAAGAACATAAATATAAATTTTTGTGTCAAAGAAACAAAAATAGCTTTACAATTTCAGTCTGAAATCTAGAAATCTTAAATATGCTAAAACTAGTCAATCAGTTTGAAAGCTTTTGCCTTTGTAGAAGAGAGGAATCTCTTCATTGTGTTTCTCCCTGGGGCTCATCTCTAGCCATTAGATTTCAGATGTACTGGTGGCACATTTTAAAAGGTACTTTCATATCAATGTCTTGATTTCAAGGTCAAATAATTTTGAAGTAAGATGTTCAGAATGGATTAAAGTAGCACTTGTGCAATGTCACTGTCTACTGAGCTCCAAGAATACAAACAGGATGTAAAAGCTCTCAAATAATGTACAAATTATTGTTCTAACAAATGTTCTCCATCTGAAATTCTGAACCCTGATGTTTTACCTGATGGAATGCTTTTGCCACTCATTAGACACATATTTCAGCAACTAAGCTCAAGGACAAATTCCTGGGGGCATACCTTGGCCAGTTAGCTATAAAACAGTTTTGAAAATAGAACATAATGACTGAGGTGTTAATGAAACCAACGAATAGCTGCCAAATTTTTTATAGAAAAGGGTAAAACAGTTAATTCAACTGTGTCAGTATACAATTCGCTTGACCTGAGAATGAAGTTTTTTTTAGTAACTCCACGTAAAGATACTCACTAATATATCATAGAATTCAAATTCTACCATATAAAATATGCTGCCATGGTTGATGTGAAAGCTGCTACAAAGAACAAACTGGTTTAGACAATAGAGGAAATATAAAAATTCACATGCGATGACGATTTCAAACACCTGAAATTATCTGAAAATTTCTCTTGTCTTTGTCTCTTTCTCTTAAATTATGTAGCATATAAAATATAGAATAATATAATACAGTATTGAAGACAACAACTAACTACCCTGTAACTTTTTGCCCTGCAGTATACTATATAAACAATTTTGCGTTCAATTTGAAACACTCTTTGCGCTAAGAAATTACCTTAATTTTGATACCTGAATGAACACATTCCCATAGTGAGGCTGGGAACTTAGTATACAAGGACAAATGGAATTTATGTTTTGAATTACGAGTTTGCATACTAAATAATTTGACATTTTTAATGACTTAAATTCCTTCTATTATTAATACCTGAAATATATCACTTAGTATTTTTCAATAAATAGTATAAAATGGTACGTGATTAAATAATCCTTTTTACAACCCTAACTTTTAAAACTATATTTTTTTAAAAAACAGTTTTGGAGCTTCTGTTTTATTATGCATATACTTTGGAAAAGAACTGAATTTAAATTAGGAACACTTATGTAATTGGACATTGCATTAATAAAAGTCTACAATAAAATAAAATTATTTCTAATTAAACCAGATATATTCTAATTTGCTGAAAGTTTCCTCCTTAAATTGTACGTTATCAAGCAGATTTTTAACAATTATATAAAATTAAAATTTCATTACACCTATAAAGCCTAATTTTAACATTTCCATGAACTTCATTTCCATAGCATTTATTTTAATTATTCCTTGTATGGAAGAAAGTTCAAAGATATAGCTATATTTGATAATATATACAAAAAAAAAAAAAAAAAAAAAAAATTAAAATTATAAGATTAACAGTGGGGGGGGGAAAGACAGAGATGAAGACTAGTTAAATTTTAAATTGTCTATGAAATAATCAAATAGTTGAAATAATTTTGTGACATAATATTAATATAAAATATCATAGAAATAATTATTGTAAGCATTCAGTAAAGACACATAATCTTGTAGTGTAATTTAAAATTCAAACAAAATTTTGTAAAAATAAAATTAACATATAATATAAAGAATGATATTTTCTTCAACGGAAGTTTACACATTTCCTTCTGCGTAATGCCCAGCAGTCTCAATCCGGAACAAATGTAATATGAAATTTTCCCTCAATGACGAAAAGAATCTTGAAGTCTGGTAACTAACCCATACATTTTCCTTTCTTTTGTGACACAGATGCACCCTCTGAGAATCCATTAAACTACACACAAAGATCTTTGTTGCAAATAAGAGGTGATTTCTTAAAGGGAGGAAAGCATTTGGTTCAAGATACCTCATCCTTTCAAGGCTTTTACAGCTGCCAAAGCCCCATCCTCAAAATGTTAATAATTTTACACAATCAAATTACACAGCATTAAAGTCATGGATTAGACCTTTCTCTCGAAATATGTATTTCCCTTTAAAATACATATTTCTAATAATAATCATTTCTATCCATAAAAATGTACCATTAAAATGAATAACAAAAAATACTTGAAAAATTAACTTAATCCCTGAACATAAAAATAATCTAAAACTTTTTGTCAGAAAGATGCACATTGAAAGAAAATGCCATCTGTATTTTTGTGCAAAGACTGAAAAGACGAGGAAGCAGAATTGGAAGTGCAAAATTTTCAATTCTAAATTTTATACAAGTGAAAACTTATTAATGATATGGATTGCAGTTGGTATCTGCTATGGTAGAGAATTCCCATGCATTGTGTTTCTTTGACATTTTTCATCAACATCAGAAGAAGAATCTTCAGTGTCGACATTTTTCATTTCAATTTCTGTCACAAAACCTTCATCACCAGACCTTCGCATATAATAACATCACATCATTATACAATAAGAGATAATTCAGTAAGGTATGGCTGAAACTATTGGCATAGCAACAAAATACATGACATTATGCTATTATCAAATATGTGATCCATGAAGGGCAAAGAAATGCATGCTGCTACACTTAAAATTCTAATGTTTATATTAAGAAATCTGTAGAAAACAGGATAATTAATATTGCATGATCGTTCTTGTTTTAAAATAAGGTGATGGGATGAAGTTTCAAAAAAGTGTGAAAGTTTGGTTTTTCAGAGTAAGAATTTAAAACTATTAAAGACATAATTATTTTAAAAGATCTCAAAATCAGCAAACTATTTTTCTAATACATTCAATAATGCAACAACTGGAAACTTTGAAGTCATTAGTTCAATCACTTAACAATTAATCTGTAAAAAATTACTTCAATATTAATTTCAAGATGCATACAAACACCCTTCTACGAATCTATGTGCCCATCTCATAGCTCTGGACCTATCCATCTCTGGCCAATACATAAACTCTTCTTTATCCTTATAGATTGTACTGGCTATAAAATCTCCTATGGATCAAAAAACCTTTCTGTTTTGTGAAATAGCTTTTCTATTCCAACTACATTCTCCATGGATATAAATCTTTTTTAGGATTATGTGTTTGCAAATAATAAAAGAATTAAAATAACATACTGGAACCAAATCTAAATTAACATGCATTTATGAGATTTGGAAGAAGTCAAAGGTTTCAATGTTACTCACTTTAAAAAAATTTTATTACTGATTTTACAGGTTTTTAAGGTAAGTATATAATTTATTATAGCAAAGCTTTTGAAGGAGCTATCGATCTAAGCAAAGATTTCGTAAAAAACTTTCAAAAGAAATTGGCATGATCCCCCTTCAACAACCAGGAATGGATACTGGGGCAAATTCATTACAAATGTTTATTAGTCTTACCCATTCAACCAAGAATTAATTTTCTGTTTTGGACATTTGCAGTAATGACAGATGAAGTTAAAATTCAATAAAACAGCAGCCAAAAGTTTATAAAGTTCTTCCAAAGCAATTAAAATATATACATCTATGAAGGATTATGCAGATGAAATAATTTTAGACATTTTTATGCTTGAAAATATTATTGTAAGAAATCTGTTACATCAAACTGTAAAAGCTGGAGGCTTACAAGCAGGAATAACTGTGAAAGTTGGAAGCACAGTCATATTTATATTCAGCTCACAAGCTGGAATCTTATTTTAATGTTACCTAATTTCACTTGATGATATTTATGAAATTTATAAATTCTATAAGAAACTTTTCTCAAAATTAAATTAAAATACCTGACACCTTTAGATAGAGCGGATGCAACCAATTCAATTTTAATTTTAAAAAATCATTTTCACATATACACAAATAACATTACACAAAATAACTTAAGCACTTACTTTATTAGCTCCTCAAGAACCCCAATGTCTGTCAAAAGACCAGTCATTTCTTTGGTATAGTAATCAGGAAGAATTCTTTCTTTGAGACTCTGAAGTAACCAAAATGTCATATCTTCATTATCTGTTACAAGGAGCATTATCCCAGCAATGAAATTCAAGCCCTACAAATAAAATAATTCATAAATTATTTAATTTTAGAAAGATAATGATACATACAATAAAATTCATGACTGTTATATTTTGTCAAATACAAGAATGTTATTACATTAAATTCAGAATATTTTGAAATGTACTTACAATGTACAGCTATACTATCACCTTTTTAAAGGTGGACATAACTTTACAGTTTCCAAAAATTGTAAGAAAAGTTTCAAACATTTGTATTAAATGACACCACTAACTTCAGTTGAGTTCAGATATGTTTGCTTTCTTTTTGCAAACATACTTTCAGTTTTCATCGATTTGTTTCAAGGTTAGTACCAGTCTGGTGTTTTTAACCCTCTGCATTCTCAGCAATTTTTAATATGCAACAACTCAGAGATAACTTTTACTACTAGTCATTATCTTACACGTATAAAAATATAAAATTATTTCTAGATACTACTGCGCTGAATTGCTGACAAAATAGCTACCAATTTATATGACAATATCACTGCTGTAGTGACAATGGAGTGCAAAGTGTTTCATTTGGTGTTCTATATATTCATTGTATTTTTTATGGGTCTCTAGGATTTACTAAAATAGAAGCTTTTGGCTATCCTCTGAATCCTAACAAAAAACTGAAAATGTTCTTATTTCCATACAATGAAATTATCATTCCAGAGAACACACTGTGAAAGAGCAACAATGGAATTTCAGAGCAGGAGATTCATTTAAAGAAAACAGGATCATATTTACAACAACCATGTAAGTTATTTACAGCCATTAAGAATTATATATTAACTCTTCTTTCCAAATGATGCTCTTTATGTTTAATATATCTTTTGCCTTAAAAGTATGATACACAGTAGCATTCATTCAGGAATTTAGGCTTTCCACTATATTTTATAGAAACAGATTGAATTAATAAAATGGATATAGAGATACAAGCTTAAAAAATTAAAAATGAAAAGTACCTGGCAATATCCAATAGATGGATTATGATGAGCAAATGCCAGTAATACATTTTTTAAAGATTCCCTTTTTGAATCATCAGATGTTCCTTTAAAGTAAATATTATCTGGAAATGTACGTGGAATATCTACAAAGAAAACGGAATTTTAATTCAGAACTTTTTTAATAATATAGTTTTATTGTTTGAAATGTAATTATAAAATACTAAACTCTCTAAATTAAGAAATCTTACATAATACATGCCTCTCAAGCTATTTGAATAATACATTAATGCTGAACATATACAAAATTTGTTAAATATTTTTAACTAACTCAAATTTCATGCTAAATAACTCAGTTTTGTGAATAACAAACTAAAATGCCTAAAATAATAGATTAATCTTTCTCAGTACATTTCCAAATTTTACTAGAACACTTTCTGTAGTATAATATATTGCCATTAAAATAAGACCATTTATATTATAAAAAATAGCACACATATTAATAGGAAATAAACTACTCTTAATCCATTTGTACTTATTTTACATAATAAATTATTGGAACTCTTCAATCAAAAATTCAATGCCTTTGGATATTCATCAGTACTTAGATATTACTTTCAACTTCATTTATAAACTTGCAGAATTTTTAAATGACTTTACAGGTAGAAACAGCATAAATTACAAGTATTTTAAAAATTGGTTCTTCGTTTACTGTTTCTTTTGCATTTCAGTACCATCAACAATTAATAAGTACTTACCAAGACTTATTGTTTCAATAATTTCTTGCTTCATTGGGCCTCTCAAAATAGTTGTGTAAAGATCTGGTTGCTGTTCTTTCATTTCCTTAGCACCACTAATTATCAACCATATCTGAAAGAATTTATTCCATAATTATGCATGAAACATTAGCTTGTAAAAATTATTTCAAAACTGTGAATCAACTATAACCTAAGCCCCACTAATTGCCTAATAAAGCAATTCAGTTTTTTTTAATGCAAAAATAATTTGTCCATTAGATTACTAGCTTACTAAATATTCATTTCTATCTGGGATTTTAAATTAGCATAAGCTTATTAGAAATCAGAGATTCACTTATCAGGAATCTAAGATAATTAACTAAGGGTGCCAGTTTAAGAGCCCCACATCCCTTGCCAATTGTGGTGAGTCCTGTCATGCATAAATGCATGAATATCAATAAAACAAGGTCAAACATTTTGCTAAAACATTTCAATATATTATTTTTTTAAATTTTAGTTCAACATAACTGACATACACTGATTACAATATGACAAAATACTGAACCAAAGTTGTATCTCAACTTTCCTTATTAACTGCCTATATGCAAATTTAATACATTAGAAAGTCCGTAATCTGGACGTCCATTATCTGGAATGATCTATAATCCGTAGATCAAAGCCACACACATTTTTTTTTTTTTTTTTTTGTATGCTTAACGCATGCACATTGGGAGGATGCGTCACCAGATACGTTAAAAAATGCTTGGCATAATTTATGGCCAGTTACCATATTGCATGGTGAGGATGATGAAAATGATCACCGTGAATTTGAAGGTTTTCGGATATTGCAAACTAAAGGTAAAATTTTCCAGTTACTGGATTTCGTAAAGAAATGTGGAGAAGCTGTATTAAATGGACATGATATAACAGAAGTTTTTCATTGCGACGACAATGCCTCAATCATCAATCAATCAACGGACGGTGAAATATGTAGTATGGTTCTAGATCCAGAAAATACCACTGCCGATAGTGAAGAAAGTTACAGACAGGTTATTGAAAACAAAAAAATTTTGATTGACAAGTTAGTCGCTATTCTCGACGCAGCAATTACAGGACTTGAACAGTGGAACTTTGTAACTGAACAAGAAATGCCTGTTCATAGAAGAGAGAATTAAAAAGAAAGTATTAGCACAAAAAACGAAGCAACTTAAACAACTTACATTGAAAGAAATGTTTAATAAAGTAAACAAATAATATTAAGAGTATTTTTTTTTTTTTTTTTTTTTTTTTTGTAAATTTTAATACCCTTTAGATCATAATTGCTCTTTATTTCATAAATTACGGTTTCATATTTTTAATTGTATAATTTCTGCATGCCATCTGACAAGATTTAAATTGATGATTTATAATCCATAAAAACCCCTAATCCAAAATCACTGAAGTCCCGAAGAGTCCGAATTACGGACTTTGTACTGTAATTAAGAAATCATTTAGTGGTTTGTTCTTTGCCAGATGCAATGATACAACAGCAATTCTCCAGATATGATTCTTTTCTGCTACTACGAAATCCCCGAAAATGTAATGGCCAATGCCACTGTCAAAGTAAAAAACTTCTAAACTTTTGGAGTCTTTTTCACAGAAAGAGTTCATGAGCATGTTAATACATTTGTTACATCTATAAACAAATATTCCTAACTTTAAAAATATTTTTACAATACCTTTCCTTCATTTTCTTAGCAATTCCTGCCTTCTAAAGAGCAATAATTTAATGTTACTATGTACGTGAACTTTTACATTCATCAACTGAATACTTTCAGCTGATGTAATTTCTGCCTGCACAAAGATTTTGTTGAAGGTTGATTGTATCCATGTGTCAGACAATACTTGTCTACTTGTGGTTTATGGATAAAAAATAAACGTAATTTTTTTTATGTCTGCCAATGTGTCTATGAATGAACAATATAATGTTTAAAAAATAAAACAAATGATTATAATGAAGCAAATATAATTCTTACTTACTAAATTTCACAAAATTTTTCAGCCTTAAAGAACAGAGAAAAAATACGAAATAATGATGGAGAGTTTGTAAATGTTACTTGACTTACTGAAGAAATTTATTGAGGAAAACAGATGAAACAAGTTAATTAGTTTCAAATTCAGCCATGTAAAATAAATGATAAAAATAAAACATTAATTACTTAAACAAATCTAAGAAGCAGAAGAAAAAATAAATAATCAGAAACGAAATAGCACACAACTCTAAAAATCAAGGAATTTGGCTAGAATTTGTAGAAACAACTTTAGAATTCATTCAGATATTTATAATGAGAACCTGACATTTCCCTTAGATAAAGAAAAAAAATGTTGTCATAGTATTTAGCACTATTGCCAGTGTTCAGATGATGAAAAACGATGTGTTATTAATTTGCATGCTATTATCAGCTTTCAAGTAGTGAAAAATGAAATGGTATTAGCATACATGCCCATAGGAAAAAAAAAAAAAAAAAAAAACTGCCTACAACTGCTATTATAAATTATTCAATTGTAATTGTTGCATTTTCTTAGTGAATATAATGAACAACAGAGTCTGTTGAAGCTTTTCTGTACTCGCAAACATTTTCAAAACTATGTAGATCACTACATGAAAGAAGGAGGAACTATTTCTAAATACCAGAGCTCAAAATTAATGGATCAAATATGACAAGATCAAACTGAGAAAAAATTTAAAAAAACAGAGGTTAGCTTTAGAAGTTATTTTCAGTCCTTCAATTTCTAGGAGTTTCCCTGAAACTACTAGAAACAGAATTGAACAGAATTTTCTTTGAAAAGTCAATCAAGAAAAGCTTTATTATTTGGTCCAGCAGAAGAGACTTCCCAGAACGCATTTAATGGCCAAATATGGTGCTCTGTTAAACAAGCAACAGAATGTGGGACTACTTGCATACCTTAAAAAGCATATTCAAAAAATAATAATTAATTTCCAAAGAAATTATCTCTGCTATTAAAAAAATGTGTATTCAGAAACAAATATAATTTAGCTCAGGACTTCATAACAAATGTTTGGTTATCAAGAACAGTTAAGTGTGATTTTAAAATTGGTAGATATTATTTCTGTATCAGTTGTCACCGAAAAATAAATTTTGGATTTAATGAAATTGACTATATCATGGGAAAATTTCATGTATCATATGTTCTCATAACACTTCTTACTGTTTGCCATTAGCACTCATCTGATAATAACACTATGGAATGGAAAAAAACTGAGGAACATGGACTAAAAAAAATTTGACTAGTAACATATACCTGAAGTTGAAGCTATTTTGTGAAACCAGATGGAAGGAAAGAACCAGAAGTGTTCAAGCTGTTAAAGATGAGCTCAGTAATGACGTATGTCTTAGAACAGTTGAAAGAAAATTTTAAAGAGTACCTCCTCTGTGTGAATGAAACATGAAGCCAGTTAAAAGATATTGCAGCTTTAAATTTTCTTTGTGCCTGGCATAATATTGTTATTCATGTTAAAAGTATTAATAAAGCTAATAAAAAGTTATTTTCAATGGCAGTGGGAAAGCATACAAAAAGGTAATGCAGCAGAACTTGGAAACATAATGCTGTATGATATTGCAGAGTTCTGAGTCAATAAATTTTAAAATGTTAAGGAAAAAGTCACAAGAAAAGGTTATTATTCAAATCAGTAATACCAGGCATAAAACTGTAAAAAGGCAGCTTTCAAATGAAAGCAGGAATAAGGACTTTTAGAGAAAGAAAATTAATTTTGAGTAAATTTTAAGTGTTGTAAAAGACACTGCTCTTATGGCATTGAAAAAAATTAAACAATTAAGCTATTACCATGACACAATGAGTATTATATATTACACCATGTATCTGACAAAAAAAAAAAAAAAAAAGATGATTTGAACAACAGCTATAAGAAGTTTGCAGGCGCTTTTATGGACCTGAAATAAAATTCACGAGATCTGAATGTAACAGATCTTGCATATGGATTAGAGCTGCTATTCCCTACATTAGCTTAAATTGCCAATAGTTTTGTAACAATAACCTCTATAGATTTATAAAACAAATATTTACTCGTATAAATAATAATTTATGAAATTAATTTTCTCAATGGTGTCAGTTGCAATACGACCTTTTAAGAAATTATTTTTGATTATCCACACCTTCATGAAAAGTATCCACAAGGCAATGCGCCATGTCACCAAAATAACACCCATGACATTACTTTGCCTGATAAATGGAAATACTCTCTAGAGTGAGAAACCCTGCAGATAAATTAACATGCAGTGAAACATAATATTTGATGTCATGATTAAATATTAGCCTCACCAAAAGTTTAAAGCACAAATTGATAGGGAGATTTTGAAATGCTTGAGCACTCATGTTCATGCAACTGATTCAGTAAGAGAAACTTCATTAAATGAGCAATCTGGAAAAACTGCTAACAGTCATAGCCTGAATGACAGATTTATCACCAAGCTGTAAAAAAAAGTTACTGTGAAGAAGATCATCTTTCTGTATTGGTGATTCAAGAACCAGATAAGAATATTTCAATAACACATCATTCAGAGCTTTACAATTTAACACTATTTCTTGACGGAAGAGGTATTTTAGGTGTCAGAGGATGTTTAGAACAAGCACAATGAATAGATGACAAAAAACTAACCAAATTCACAGAACTAGAGATATTTAGTGAACACACAAAATCATTTCTTTCAGAAGCTATGCCAACATTGTTCATGGTTAAGAATAAATTCTAGATATCTAGAAGATAATACCTGTCTGTAATAATATAATAAGTTGCATATAAAGTGCCATTTACTAGCATTATCTCTAAGGAATACAGGAAAGTAATACTATGTGAAGAAGTAAACTATTTGATATGTGAAGAAGTAAACTATTTGATATAATACACTGGTTATATACAGACAGGTAGTGAAAAAATTATTGCTACTTGCCTCATCTGTACGCAATTTGCTGTGAAATCCGCCACACAACTAATAAGGCAACTGATCATGTCAACAAGGCAACCCAGCTTGAGTCATTGAAAATTCCTCTTTCATAGTGGTAGGAAGTGATTTCCCCACAACAATAACCATTAAAGCTGAGACAGATATGTTAAAGAAGGTATACATTGTTTTATTTTCATGTGCAGTGCACACTGAAGCGGTGTCGGACAAGCCAACAAAAAGATTTATTCTATCTTCAATGTTCCCTGTCTAGAAAAGGAAGTAATCTACTCAATGCAAATATGTGGAACATTATATAACTGTTTCAAGTGGACTTGCATGTATACATATTTTTTTTGTACATTTAATTTATTATTATATTTATGTAACATATTAGCTGATTTTATAATTACTAGTATTTTGGAGTCTGTATCACACACATATATATATGCAGGGTGACCTACTTGAAAGAGGCCTCAAGTGAAAAATGATAAAAATCTTATAATAAAAGGGAATCAAACCAAATTTTTACATGACACCTTTTATGTTTGAAAAATGAAAGTTCATTAGAAGAGGTGGTAGAATTGATCTCCCCCTACCAGTACACAGAGTTCAACATGGCGCTGCACGTTTGCGTATGTTGCCGCCAGAGTACTGAACATCACTGCTTGGATTTCATGACTGACATTCTGACACAAATCGTCAATGTGTGTGGTATGTGCTTGTATGCATTACCTTTAATGTCACCCTACAGAAAAAAACTTCAAGGGGGATGACATACTCTGAGTATCGTTCATTAAGGGAAAATCAACAAAACTGATGATTACTCAAAAAGTTACATGTAGAATTCAATGAAACTGACCCACAGTATACAACACATAGTAAGGTATAAAATAATGTGAAAAGAAACTAACAGACAATTATGATGTTATAAAAATCAGCATATGCATAAAATGAACAAATCCGAACTATCACTTATTAGGTATAGAAAAATTACCTTCAACCTTCCCTAGAAGCAATACAACACATACAGCTTTGTGCAATGCTGTCAATTATACAGTCTATCAGTTCCACTGGAAGTGAGATCCACTGCTCTTACAAAGCATGACAAGGGTCTGAAGAGGAAGACAGAGCAGATATATGTCTTCCTAAAGCATTCCAAACATGCTCCATATTATCACCTATTACCTCGGCATAAGGGCACGCACGCATAAACATCAAGGATATGATCTCTATAGACCTGAGCATTCATGGTTCCACAAGGAAAGACATCGAGGTCTCTGCATCCACCCGAAGTGATATCACTCCAAATACAGACACTGGCTCCTCCGTATGCCTCTTTTTTACGGACATTTGATGGATGGTAATGGGTTCCAGGTTCTTTGTAAATCAAATAACGCCTACTATCACTTTGAAGGCTAAACCTGGACTCGTCCATAAAGAGAACAGTCCTCCATTGATCGGCTGTCCAGTGGACACATTGACATGCCCACCTCAAACGTTTATTTTTCTACGATGTGATGCGAGTGGAACACAAATGGGTCGTCATCTGACATACAGACCTCCTTTATGAAGCCTTCTATGCATGGTTGATGTTGACAACAATCTTCCAGTGGCTGCAGCAAGAGAGAATCCGAGTTGAGGTTCTATTCCTTCATGCACGAAACAACAAACATCAATTATCATTGCTCATTATAGTGGTTGGCTCAACCTCCTGGATGCCAAATCTGTAGTTGAAAATTGTTGCCCAAGTCTATGAACCACGGAAGAATTCCCATTTAACCATCTGACAATTTATGTATGACTTTGTCCTGCCTCTAGTCTCCCAATAGTTCTCCATCGCAGTTCTTCATGCAAATGATGCCTGCAGATCATTGATACAAATTGGCAATCCCAGATTTCTTATCTCAGGTTTACAGAGAAATCTACAGGCTTCCTCAGAAACATGCAATTTTATGCTCCTCGTAGATGGTGCATTTTGACTGCAGCACCACTAATTTGCATACTGCAGTTTTATTCAGCAATTCTTATTTGACAACATATTCAAATTTTATATGGATTGGCTTATTTTAAGCAAGTTATTGCTGTTTTTGTGATTTTTTTTTTTTTTTTTTTTTTTTTTTTTTTTTTTTTTTTTTTAAATTTTTGGAAACCAGTGTACTTATTAGATCTTTCATCTCAAAAAAAAACTTTTTAAAAAGCAATAGATCGTTTATAGTGTTTTGCAATCTATAATACGGCAATGGTAATTTAGATGCTGGCAAATATAAATTTCATCTTGAAAACAGGTGATCTAAACTAAAAATATGGATAAATAAAGTGCAGTGTTATATATGCCTTTTTATGGTATGTTATTGATAAGACCTTTGTCAACAACAAATTATAAGTTATCCAGTTGTTACTGAAGTAAGAAATATCATACAAATAGAGATTTGCATGGGGTGCTGGAACTTGTTAATTCCCACACAGTTTAAGGCACGGACATTTTCTTGGTACAATTCATTACAAGATGGAGAAAAGCAATCAATGCAACTTAAGCAGCTAAATAAAGAACAGAGAGAGAGAGAAAGGAATCACCACAAGATCCTGCCTTCTAAACAAACTTGAACACTAAAACACTTGAACAAATCCTGCCTTAAACAAACAGTGACAATTATATAAAACCTTGTGCTCTTGCTAAGAATTAGCTGAAAAATTCAAAACAGAAATTAAATTTTAGGTTAGAGTAAAGAGAATACCCCTTGTATTATCGTAAAGTAGTTGTTTCATTTATCGTCAAGTGGTGGTTTATTTATGGTAACCTGAGTAGTTGAATGTTACGGAAACATTATTATGATGTAATTGGTTGCATGATTGCAGTCAATTTGAATCATGGGAAAGGATATGGAAAATGTGCGAAGGATTTTCGATAAGTACGTTGTTATTTTGTGGTTTACACGGTAAAATGGCTGGATGTGGTAAGATTAATTCGAAGTTCTGTACAATTTAGAATGAAAGGGAAAAAAAGCATTAATTGACTGGTGCGTAAATGAAGGTTTACTTAGTAGCTATTATTAAGAGTCCTGTTTGTAGGAAGGAAATGTGTATGGTTGAACGATATCGGCCCTACAGAGGATATTTTTGACTCTTATGTTTGTGAATTTATGTGGCGATGCCAGTATACAGATTTTAGTTTAGGTAATTTTAAGAAGTTTTTGGATGCTGTTAAGGAATTTTGTTTGGCTGAAGATGTGTTAATTCATAAATAAGGTAAGTGGATACTTCCTTTGTGTAGTGCAAAGATGAATTTCCTTTTTTATGTTATTGTATTGTTTGATTTAAAATGTAGTTTATTGAGATTATATATTTTTTTGTTGGCTGCTCCTTTGAATTTTTAACTGAAAATAGGTTGATGTGTACATGGATAAAAATAAGGGAATGTGCCATGCCAAGTTTGTGCAATTCTGTGATTTTTTTTAAGTAGATCGATGTGTACATGGATGCCAAGTTTGTGCAGTTCTTAGTCTTGTTATTTTGGCTTTGTGTAATTGCAATTTTAGGCACAAAAGTCGCCGCTACACAAGCCAAAATAACAAGTCGCAGAATTGCACAAACTCAGTATCCATGTACCACCAAAAATCACCAATTTTTGCCAAGGGGTACCTGTAAATATACTTTGGCTCTACTCTTAAGTGCGCCCTAATTTCACCAAATGTGGTGATATGTGTTCTGCGCTGGTTTTTGGCACGACTGCGTGTTGTAAGGCAACCCAGTCGACGTTGAAAAATCTTTTGCTGGAGTGTTTTAATTGCTCGTTGGTTCGTGTTTTAAAATGGCCTATGTTGGAATTACAGACGTGGTGGCAAGATTTCAGTCACGGATTTTTAGATTGTGTGGAAAGTAAATTTAGTATTAAAAAGTACGATGTTGGAGTTGTTAGCGAGTCTTTTGTTAACGGGTGTGTTTATGAGGATTGAAGTGTATTTTTGGAATTTCTGTGGGACTTTTAAAACGGAGTCCGAAACGCGGAGCTGCTATGATGAAGAAGGACGGACTCGGATGAAGAAGGACATTTCTGATAGTTCTTGTGTGAATTTGCAGTAAAATGGTTGCTGGTAAAGGCTTCCAGCAGAGTTTAAGATTTGGATTGTGGTTTTGGTGTATTAAGTTAACTTTGGAGGAAGTTTTTATTGTTACTTTTGAAATTTTGAATCTCGGAAAGACATGTGATATAGCAAAATTGTGGCACTTTTGCTCAGAAACGTTGTGTGACTGGAGAAATTTTATTCAGGAATGTATTATGGTAAGTACATTTTATTTTACTGTTTTTATTTCGTAGAATGTTATGTTCATTGGTTTTTTACTATGAATTTCTGTTGTGATTGTTGTTTTTTGAATTGTTTGTAACTTAGTTTAGTTTATTTGGTTGATTTGTGCACAATGCCTAGATTGTGCAATTCGTAGATGTTTTAAACAGGATGCTGTGTACATGGTATTCTTTGAAATTTATTGTTATGTTAATATATTAAAGCGAGGTATGCGTAGTTCGTAGATTCCTTCCCTGCCTAGAATGTGCAATTCATACATGTTTTTTAAGTTAAAAAATATTGCTGTGTGCATGGTGTTTTGTCAATTTTTTTTTTAAGAAACTTTACGTTTTTGCTATCTAAATTTTTTGTTTTTGTTTCGGATTTTTAGCTTAAATTGTGTCTTCAAAATGTGATTTTTGCATGTGCGAAAACCACGTTTTGGGAGATATTTTAGGCTTAAAATTCAAAATGTAGACAAAATATTTAGATAGTAATTATGGTGGGATGGAGTTTCTTGCCAAAAATGTTTGGCGAGAAATTTGGCGACCTAGGGCGCATATAAGAGCAGTTCCTATACTTTTACCAAATTTTATCTATTGCATGATTTTTAATTCCTGTACAGTGTTGTTCATTGTACATTTATACAAAATATTCAGTAAAATTATTACATTTCATTCATTAATAATGAGATTATTTAAATTATTGACTATGCATAGCTAAACAGAACTTAAATTATAAGTGTTAGAAATATTTGTAGAATTATATTTCGCCAAAAGATGTTTTTAATACATTATGCCTGGTTATATAAAATATCAGTTCAAAACTAGCAAATCAATATAACATATATTAAAAACAAACTATTATATACATGCCACTTACCACAGCTCTGTGACTACTAGGGATACCCTTTCGTACATATCTTTTAACTAAAAATAAAATTATAAAATGTTAATTAAACACATTTTATTCTACATAAACAGCAGCATTCATATTAATATAATGCAAATTTATCATTCAGAGTTCATAACAATTTGGATTCAGCCTTTAGTAATAAAGAATCAACAGTTCTATGCAAAGCAAAGTTTAAATTCTTCATGAAAGAACAAATCAGCATGTATTAAGAAGAAGATTATTTACTAATCAAAATCACTTTGGCAGTCCCATACTTAATGCTTATTTTAATTAAATAATTAATACTAAAATGCACTACATACAGTACATGCAATAAATTCTTTACCTTACAATTTAGCTAGTTTTTAGTCGAGGTTTAGAAATTCTATTAGATTTAATAAGAGTAAATTAAAAATAAGATATGTCAGCAGATAGCTTATTACATCAAAGTGTTTGAGAAATTAACTTTCCAAAAGTACTTCCATGAAGGACTTTATAATATCAAACCAAAGACAAATAACATCTGCCCTTTTCTAAAAATTCTTTGATTTTTAAGAAAATTATACATGTATTACAATATGAGATTACTTTTAAATTTTCAATATATTTATTATAATTTACAAGATTTTAAAAAGAACCAAATCAACCTTTTCTTATTTTTCAGCTTAACCTTCCAGCATGTGCGCTTGGCAATTTTATATGAGCATGCGCGCATCATATTTTTTTAATACTGCCTAAGAGGTCGTATTTTCTTAATGCTAGCCTAAGCATTGTATTTTTTAATGCTGCCTAAGAAAAGGGACATCTGTTATTATACCGTTTTTGGCCTGAAAAAGGACAGAAATGAGTGAATATTGATAATAAATTTGTTAAAACATAAAATATTAACCTTATTATTTCAAAATACAAATGATAGTAAATTATTTTTAAACGCTTATATTAGTCAGGCGGAAAAGGAATGATGTATTTTACTATAGAAATTTTAAAAGTTATTATTTAATAACTCTATTTTAAACTCCAAGCTAGTGTTCATATTCATCTGCCCTGTCCTGTTGATTTATCATTGAATCAAAGATAACTTGTCAGAAATAAAAATCTCTTGTAGCTCATCACAGCTCTTGTTATTTCAATTCCAGTGCCATCACTTGAGAATAATTCTTTTGCATTTACATAATGTTCTTTTTTTATTCCTATTATATATCAAAATCCGAAGTAGGCCATCATTTCCACTTAGGTAACAGTGCAGTCTCTCTCTCTTGAGTATTTTGCTTTTTAGTAAGCTTCTATATTTATTTAACATTCCAAAATTTCATCAAGCATATTTATATCAACTAGTTTAAAAAATTTTCCTATTCCATCCTTTATATCCTTAGCATTGTGTTTTAGGCCAGGTAATGCTCCCAATATTCATCTTATTTGTCCTTGAGCAGTTTGCATACTTCTGATTTTGCTGCTTAGAAGATTTATCCTTACTAACATAGAACATATCATCATTCTTCCATTTTTTTATATCATTATTATCATCATCTGAAATATAATGTTCAGATTTACTGCTGATATTATTTATCTCGATATTTTCCTCACACAGATCGCTATTAAGGTTTCCTCATCTTCTTTTTCTTCATCAGATAATTCTTGAAGAATGAGAGCAAAATCAGCTGGTTGCACATATGTTTTTGCCGTGAAAACCGATATAAAAATTATAGAGTCAAATTTATACAAATTAAAATAATACACGTCAATTAATAACACAAAATGACAAAATATTTGAAAAAAAAACTTTCCGTATTTTGAGCCACAACCATGCACACATCGTAACTTTTATGAAGAAGCTGCCACGTAGCGCAAAAGCCCAGTAATAAAACAAAAAATACTTTCTGTGGGACTTTTAAAACGGAGTCCGAAACGCGGAACTGCTATGAGAACTCGAATTAAAGTAATACGACTTCCTATTGGCACATTCCATGATGTGGGGAAGTGTTGTGTGTGTGTGATTATGGCAAAGCCTCGATGGTTATCTGCCTAAGAGGAGGGAGGACTTTCTAAGGGAAACTGGCTCGTACACCCGTTACACATGAGGAAAACCAAGGGGAAGGGTTGAAAGAAGGAATAGAAATGACATTCAGACGTCTCAGCTGCAATATGCGAGAAGTATGCATTAAAAACCGAATTTGTCGTAAACTTTGTGCATAGCGTGCATGCAGGAAGGTTAATGCTTCTACTTCTGAAATTAGCAAATACAGAATTCCATTGCTGTCAAAGAACACAATCAGCATTATTTTTACATATCATAAACAGATTATAGCTATTTAGGGTGCTATTTTGGTAGACGGTTGCACGGATTTTGGCGATTTTTCTTTCGGCGAAAACCCATTGCTGGATAAGTTATTTATGGTAACCGATACTTTGTAGTCATTTTATTTAAAAAATAATGTGTTTTATTTATGCATAAATTCAGTGTTTTAAATATTATTTATGGCTTCTAAATATTAAAAATCAATTTAATTGTGCATTTTTATTTGAAATAAAAATTTTATTGTGTATGATATTTTATTAAATTTTATTTTGTGGATTATGCAATCAATGACGTCACCTTACTTTAAAAGTACGTAGCGTATTCGGAAACTAAGTACCGTTTCATTCTAGCGCCGTCGCAGTGCTGTGGTAGGCGTCCCGCGCATGCGCACTAGTCTTTCTTGTTCACTGACTTTCAATTGTCGCCATTTTGGTTGCTCTATGTTGTGTTTTCAGTTTGCTGTGCACATTCAAAATGTTTAAGACAATTAGTTCTCCTGCTGACTGTGAGATTCCTGTCGTGATTAAATTTTTGAACGCGAGGAATGTTAAACCGGCCGAAATTTATCGTCAAGTGACAGAAGTTTACGGTGAATACGCGATAAGTGATGGAATGGTGAGAAAGTAGGTAAGAATGTTAAATGCAGGGCGAACAAATGTCCACGCCCAGGCTCAGAGTGGTCGGCCTTCTGTTGTCACCGATGATTTGGTAAGGAAAGTTGATGAAGCAATTCATGAGAACAGACGCTTCACAATGACAACTCTTTCAGAGGCATTTCCACAAATTTCACGTACTGTTTTGGTCGAAATTGTGTCTGACCGCTTAAATTATCGCATTGTGTTCCCGATGGGTTCCAAAAATGCTCACTGATGTTCACAAAACAAAGTGACTTGGTAGTGCGCTGACATTTCTCACACGGTACAGTGATGAGGGAGAAAACTTTTTAAACCAAATTGTGACAGGTGATGAAACTTGGGTGTGTCATTTCACACCAGAATCGAAACAACAATCGATGGAGTGGAGACACACTCATTCTTCAAAAAAACAAAAGTTCAAAGTGACAATGTCATCACAAAAAATCATGTGCACTGTCTTCTGGGATAGGAAAGGCGTTTTGCTTACTGAATTTCTTCCCAGAGGTGAAACCATTAATGCGGCACGATATTGTGAGACTTTACCAAAACTAAGGCAAACCATTCAAAACAAACGAAGAGCATTGTTCAGTAAAGGGATTGTGTTGCTCCATGACAATGCTCGGCTCCATACTGCTGGAGTCACTTAATCGTTAATTCGACAGTTTCATTGGGAGCAGTTCGATCACCCGCCGTACAGCCCGGACTTGGCGCCGTCCGACTATCACTTGTTCCTGCACATGAAGCGCGAGCTTGGTGGCAAGCGCTTTGGATCTGACGATGATACAAAAAATGCTGTGGAGTCATGGTTATCGAAACTGGCGGGAAGTTTCTTTGACGGTGGTATACAAAAACTGGTCTCCCGCTATGACAAGTGTTTGATCATTGGCGGAAACTATGTTGAAAAATAGTTTAAGACATGTATTTTCATGTAAAAATAAAACTGGATTCGAAAAAATTGTTTTACTATTTTTTTTTTTTTTTTTTTTTTTCAAAACGGTACTTAGTTTCCGAATACGCCTCGTAATTGGTTTTAATATTTATAAATTTAATCTAATGTTTTAACATTATTTATGGTTATACAAATTAAAATACAATTAATTTTGCATTTTTAATGATTTTATTATAAAGATTATTTAAATAATTTTAATTTATTCGTGATGTAATCAGCGGATTTTTTTTTTTATATGGATTTTTTTGTTTTTTTCTTCAAAGAAGGGTATGCTAAATTTACTCAAGTTTTTAAAATTCTAAGATTTTGATCTTTACTTTTTGAATTGTCTAATCTTTGGAATATGGTAACAGGTAGTTTGGCGACATTTTGGAGGCGATAAAGGTTACTACCTAGGACTTTGGTAATAATGTGAGAAGTACTCAGTTCCGATTACGCATTATTTTGTGTGAGGGAAATGAGAGATCATGAGATATGTCATGTGACATTAATGGACGAATTACAGTTCTTTAATCGGAAAAGGGGGTAAATTTGGAAAAATATCTGTAGTACTATATATTTTGTATTAAGCTTCATTGTGTGTTGTGTGAAATAGTGTTGATTAATTTTTGGATTGCATGGCGCTATCTAAAGTGAATTCTAAATTTTTAATGCGTTTATCTGATAATTCAAAAGAATTGGTTGAATGGTGTATGAGTGTAGGATTAATTGCGGATAAGTATGAATGTCCAACATGTGGGAATGAAATGAGATTGTGTGAAAGGAAGGATATTACAGATAAGTTTGAATGGCGGTGCAAGAAATCTGGTGAAAATGGACATTTTGTGATCCGCCATGCACTCAAGATTCTGTAGAAGATTAGGTAAGTTAGTATTTTTAATTATTTGAGGATATTATTTTTATGCATTGTTCTAAATGTAAGGAGTAAATAAATTAATATGGTATTATTGGAAAATTGTTATTAGCAATGATTTAGTTTAAAGTAATTAGGATTGTAAGCTAATTTTTATTAATTTAATGTATGTGCTTATTTATATTTTAAGTAGTGTTTTTTAATTTAATTATATTTTAATTAAATGATTTTTTGTGAATTATATGTTTGTAGTATTTTGGAATACGTTTGAGTTGAAGTAAACGTGCATGGAAATAATTTAAATATTTGACACTAAGTATTTGGAACCATTTTTAATGTTTGCGTTATAAATTCGTTGGTGACGTTTATATATAGATAATTTAGAGGTAAAAGTTTTTGGATATTTTATTTATTTTATACGTGGAAATGTTCATCCTTTGGAAAGGGTATATACTTTTTCGCGATCAGGTAATTTCATATATGTTCTTTTTACCGGGTTTAAAGATTCACAAAAATTTTCATGCATTTTCGTGAAATTTTTTTTCTAATTTATGAGAAAAAAGCAGTGTACATGGATATAGTGAAGAGTGTGCGCAATGCCATTTTTGTGCAATTCTGGGATGTTTTTTTAAAGTAAAAATAAGTCGACGTGTACATGGTTTAGTGATATTTTAATTAAATGATAGTTATTTTGTGAATTTTATGTTTGTAGGAATTTGGTATACGTTTCAGTTGAAGTAAACGTGCATGGAAATAATTTAAATATTTGACACTAAGTATTTGTAACCATTTTTAATGTTTGTTTATAAATTCGTTGGTGACGTTTATAATATAGATAATTTAGAGGTAAAAGTTTTTGGATATTTTATTTATTTTATATGTGGAAATGTTCATCCTTGGAAAGGGTATATACTTTTTCGCGATCAGGTAATTTCATATATGTGCTTTTTACCGGGTTTAAAGATTCAGAAAATTTTCATGCATTTTCGTGAAATTTTTGTAATTTATGAGAAAAAAGCAGTGTACATGGATATAGTGAAGAGTGTGCGCAATGCCATTTTTGTGCAATTCTGGGATGTTTTTTTAAGTAAAAATAAGTCGACGTGTACATGGTTTATGTGTATGTGCTTATTTTGAAAAACGCGGCAAGGAGTTTGGTATTGTGCACTTTTTCCCAATTTTGCAGTGAATATTTGTCATGATTAAGCAGTTTTGTTCCATAAAATTTCTAGCATAAGTGTAATTCGGCTAGTAGATTGTTGGAAAAAGTGTTCAGTAAATAAAAAGAAAAGAAACATGTCTTTACTTCGTGAAGACAAAATGGCGGCGGAAAAAAAAAAAAAAAAAAAAATAGAGGGTTGCTGTAGCAGAGAGTTGGTCGCCAAATTTTCGCCAAGTTACCATAGTCAAAGATTACAAAGTCTGAAATTTTCCCTTATTCGCCAAATAGTCATAAGATCCACCATAAAACTGTAAAATTGTTAAAAATACGATAAAATTTGTCTTCACGAAGTAAAGACATGTTTTTTTTCTTTTTATCTACTGAACACTTCTTCCAACAATCTACTAGCCGAATTACACTTATGCTAGAAATTTTATCTAACAAAACTGCTTAATCATGACAAATATTCACTGCAAAATTGGGAAAAAGTGCACAATACCATACTCCTTACGCGTTTTTCAAAATAACACATACACATAAACCATGTACACGCCGACTTATTTTTACTTAAAAAACAATCCCAGAATTGCACAAAAATAGCATTGCACACACTCTTCACTATATCCATGTACACTGCTTTTTTCTCATAAATTAGAAAAATTTCACGAAAATACATGACAATTTTCTCAATCTTTAAACCCGGTAAAAAGAACATATATGAAATTACCTGATCGCGAAAAAGTATTTACCCTTTCCAATATGAACATTTCCACATATAAAATAAATAAAATATCCAAAAACTTTTACCTCTAAATCATCTATTACATTATACATCACCAACGAATTCATAAATTGAACACTGGTAAACCTGGCTGCACGTGTTTTAAATATACTTTCCCTTAGAAATCCTCCACGAAGCATCCCTCCCTTTAGGCAATAGCCCTATGTGCTTTGCCATAATTAAATACACCAACACCAACACCATACCGCAACCATTACAAATACTTAGTGTCAGATATTTAAATTATTTCCATGCACGTTTACTTCAACTAAAACGTATACCAAATTCCTACAAACATAAAATTCACAAAATAACTATCATTTAATTAAAATATAATTAAATTCGAAAACACTACTTAAAATATAAATGAGCACATACATTAAATTAATATATACATAAAAACCCATTTCGAATTCACTTTAGTTACGGCCATGGGATCCAAAAATTCACGAACACTGTTTCACACAAACACAGAATAAAGCCAAATACAAAAATTTCCAGATTTTTTTCCCCAATTTCCCCCCCCCTTTTTTTCCAATTAAAGAAACCGTAATTCGTCCATTAATATCACATGACATATCCCATGATCTCTCATTTCCCTCACACAAAATAATGCGTAATCGGAACTGAGTACTGCTCACATTATTACCAAAGTGCCAGGTAGTAACCTTTATCGCCTCCAAAATGTCGCCAAACTTACATATTACCATGTAAAGATAACCAACAAAGGTTAGAAAAAAATTTTGTATTAAGCTTCATTGTGTGTTGTGTGAAATAGTGTTGATTAATTTTCGGATTGCATGGCGCTATGTAAAGTGAATTCTAAATTTTTAATGCGTTTATCTGATAATAATAATAAGTTGAGATTGTGTGAAAGGAAGGATATTACAGTTAAGTTTGAAATGGCGGTGCAAGAAATCTGGTGAAAATGGACATTTTGTGAAAAGGAGTGTAAGGAAGGGTACGTGGTTTGCTGAAAGTAGTTTGAGTATGGTGAAATTTTATTAATTTCTTATTACTTGGTGAATAGACTGCCAGTTGACTACTGGATTTCGGATTTAGAAATTAGCAGTAGTACTGCAGCCGATTGGAACTCTTTCTGTAGGAAAGTGTGCGTGCCACGTATGAAGATTCTGAAGAAGATTAGGTAAGTTAGTATTTTTAATCATTTGAGGATATTATTTTTATGCATTGTTCTAAATGTAAGGAGTAAATAAATTAATATGGTATTATTGGAAAATTGTTATTAGCAATGATTTAGTTTAAAGTAATTAGGATTGTAATCTAATTTTTATTAATTTAATGTATGTGCTTATTTATATTTTAAGTAGTGTTTTTTAATTTAATTATATTTTAATTTAATGATCGTGATTTTGTGAGTTATATGTTTGTAGTATTTTGGAATACGTTTGAGTAGTATACGTTGAGTATTTTCATGCATTTTCGTGAAATTTTTCTAATTTATGAGAAAAAAGCAGTGTACATGGATATAGTGAAGAGTGTGCGCAATGCCATTTTTGTGCAATTCTGGGATGTTTTTTTAAGTAAAAATAAGTCGACGTGTACATGGTTTAGTGATATTTTAATTAAATGATAGTTATTTTGTGAATTTTATGTTTGTAGGAATTTGGTATACGTTTCAGTTGAAGTAAACGTGCATGGAAATAATTTAAATATTTGACACTAAGTATTTGTAACCATTTGTAATGTTTGCGGTATGAATTCGTTGGTGACGTTTATAATATAATAGATAATTTAGAGGTAAAAGTTTTTGGATATTTTATTTATTTTATACGTGGAAATGTTCATCCTTGGAAAGGGTATATACTTTTTCGCGATCAGGTAATTTCATATATGTGCTTTTTACCGAGTTTAAAGATTCAGAAAATTTTCATGCATTTTCGTGCAAATTTTTGTAATTTATGAGAAAATAGCAGTGTAGATGGATAAAGTGAAGAGTGTGCGCAATGCCATTTTTGTGCAATTCTGGGATGTTTTTTTAAGTAAAAATAAGTCGACGTGTACATGGTTTATGTGTATGTGCTATTCTGAAAAACGCGCAAGGAGTTTGCGATTGTGCACTTTTTCCCAATTTTGCAGTTAATATTTGTCATGATTAAGCAGTTTTGTTACATAAAATTTCTAGCATAAGTGTAATTCGGCTAGTAGATTGTTGGAAAAAGTGTTGAGTAAATAAAAAAAAGAAACATGTCTTTACTTCGTGAAGACAAAATGGCGGCGAAAAAAAAAAAAAAAAGGGCTGTAGCAGAGTTGGTCGCCAAATTTTCGCCAAAAAATTGCCAAGTTACCATAATCCAAAGATCAACCATGCATTCCTTTTCCCTATGATGCATAAAGCAAACAGCAGTTGTAAAGAAGATAACAGCTGTCTTCAAACTAGTTTCCAACCCTGTTATTGTAACACTTTGGTTACAGTTTTTGACTCTGCATTTAAATAAAATTCAGTCATTTCGGAAATACCATTTAAATGAATGTGAATTTTTGCATTTTATATTATTTGTCAGAATGCTACATTTCTGAAGAAATGCAATACTATTTTTTTTTGGTAAGCTGGCAAATTCAAAAACTGTATTAAAATTTAGGACTCTAGTGTAGAATTGGGTGCCCCTTCGATTAGCGACAATTTCTTTTAAATTTTGGCGATGAAACCTCACTTCTGTTTACCATGATAGTTTTAACTTTGTTTTAGCTTCCTGATTTTATTTAAATGAAAATAGTTTGATGTGTTCATGGACAAATTTAAGGCAGTGCACAATGCCTAGTTTGTGCAATTCTAGGATGTTTCTTTAAGTGAAAACAAGTCGATGTGTACATGGACACAGAGTTCGTGCAATTCTTTGACTTCTTATTTTGGTTTTGTGTATGGGCCATCTTGATACTGTGCCTTCCAAGTGCCGAGCTTGGCGTCAAAAAAGAATCGCCAAGAAACAAGGGGCACCCAATTATAAACTTTTTCCAAATTTAGATAAAAGCAATGCATAACTACAAATCTTAAACTTTAATCCATTTAATAATTATATACATTTTTATTTACACATTGTCCATGGAAGAAAAACTGAAAATTGTCCTCCGAGTACTTACCTTTATTACTTTTACGAAATCCTTGTTTTGAATTTAGGAGCTTTTCCCACTTCTGGGCTCTTCGACTCAATACTGGGAGATATTTACTCATGAACTGATCATACTGCTCATGATTAAAATCTTTTGGCCACTCAAATCCATAGGTATCCACACTTTTCAAACAAATATATGAAAATTACAAAAACTACAAATACTAATAAAGCCAATTCTTAAAAACTAGACATATTACAATTTTCGGCATTATAAAAAATCAAGAATTGATTTAGGAAATTTTACCCAGAAAAATACAAATATTTCAAAGAAAGGGGGGAAAAAGGACTATACCCCTATGTGTACATACATAATATATTAACGCTTGTTTTCGGAAATTATATCTAGAAAAATACGAATATTTCAAACGGGGGAAAAAATATACTTCTAAGAGTATAACATATTAACATTCGTTTTCATTTACTAACAACAACAACAAAAAAAAAAAAAAAAAAAAAAAAACAGTAAAAGCTACAATTGTACATTTGTATCGGTAGAAAATATCCGTACTTTAGTGGGCGGTAATCAGAGTCTAGAAATTCAGACGTTTCTCCTCATCTTAAAACTCGTTATTATATTTTAATCGAATTAGATTAATCTTTGAATGCACTTACTTCGCTCGGGGAGGCCGGCTCATTATAGTTTGCTAAAAACAGATGTTATTCGGGCAAAGAAATGCACGTCAAAGCGCATTAATTTTTAATGTTGATAATATCTAACGGATCAATCCATATTGATGGCGCCGCACGTTGCCGTATGCCGTAAGCTAAATTCGGATACAGAGTAACTGAAAACTAAAAATAACCGAAGAGTAAATTCAGTTCTTGTTTAGCAAGCAGATACATTTTGGTTGCTCAAATCAAGGAGGTTCATGGCTCCAATATTAAACATTTTACAAGTACATGCTAAGTTTAATTAAAAATAAACACTAAATTGAAGGAAAGCTAATCTTTAAATAAATGTACCAAAAATAGGTTTGAAAAATAAACCGTAAAAGCAGATCTTTCAGACTCTCGGAGTCGACTGTAAAAAAAATACAGTATCATAAAACTTTCAAACAGAAATGATGCATTGTTATTTCTTGCCATTTCGAATTAAATGTGAATATTAAAGGAGAGGAACACTTTAATTTGACTTCAGATAATGTTTTGTAAACTTAGAGTATCATTATTTTGGAAATGCGAAAGTAAATATATTATACTTAGCAGTTACTGAGTGTGGCAACAGTTATCATTGTTATTACTCAACTGAGTTGTAATCCCCCGATTGCAATGTGTTTGTTAATTGTGATGTGAAAAATCTGCGTCCGTCTCTAAATTATAAAAATTATCAGGTCCATTACAAATTTAATTAGTGTTTATAGAAGATATGGAGGAAGTTCTTGAAGATTATATTTCGTCAGAGGATTTAAGGGTATAATATAGCTTTTGCCATAGCAAAATATTTTTTATTCATTATTTCAGAATGAGCATGATATTATTCAAACCATTCCTTGTCAATCTAATACTATACTTTGAGGAAAAAGAAATGTTTGCAATTTATTTGAATTCTGTTAAGTTTTACGTATTTACTGTTAAACCGTATGGCTCTGCTTTGATAAGACAAGTTCACTACAAACGCTAATCAAGATAATTTTTAAAAAATTTCTGGTTTTTAAAAATTGGCTTGATTATTATTTATAGTGATACTAAATAAACAAATGATTTAGTTGGCATTCGTGAATTGATTCAGTCAGGTATGTAATAAGATCATTTTTGTTTATAAAGGTAATTCTTTTTAACTATTTACGAATTGAAGTTGGTACTGATAATGTAATAGCATATCAGAAAATAATTAGGCAAAATTTTATTAAGGAACTTCATCATATATTGCACTTTTTGGTATATGCGCTCTCTACTGTGAATATAACGGTGATAAGTTTTTGCGTTAAATAAAATTGTGTAATATGGATTCAGAATTGGAGAAGAATAATTCATTCTGTAGTTAGACGTTTAGAATTTTTATTTAATTATATTCTAGTATGTAATAAAAATTGGTGACAATATTGATATTGCTTAATTCTGCCATTTTGAAGAACGGTGAAAGTGCAGAATTGCCCACTGCTTGGCGTGTTTTTAAGAATTGCACATACGTGGTATCCATGTACACGTCGACCTATTTTCACTTTAAAAACATCCTAGAATTGCACAAAAATGGCATTGCACACTCTCTTGAGTTTATCCATGTACACATCAACCTATTTTCTTTAAAAAAGTCAAAGAAAATTGACAAAAATCCAATTCTTCTTACTCTTGTAAAAAGCACCAAACAAATGAGTGGGCAATTCTGCACTTGAGCCTTGAAGAACATTGTGGAACACAGGTCTAAGGATCTCTCACCCCTCTTTCTGTACCTCTAAAAGGTTGAAAAGGGATGTTTGTCTCACCATATACTTTGAGAGGCCCTCTGTCACACAGATACCATACATTTATTTATAAACATTTATGCTTTCTACAGGATTTAAAACCGAGCCCATTGGTATGGCATTCAGTGTCACTAATCGCTGTACTGTCTGGCCGGCAGAGTAACTGTAGAATAGATCCTAATGATTGCATGATTCAATGGATTGGAAGGATACTTGAGACACCAAGGTTGCAACATATGCTCTAGAGCAGTAGTCTCAAACTCAAATTGCATCCATCTGGGTGATGTGTTTAAATTTTTAGTATTGTTTTTGAATAGGTGACTGAACATGGTAGTATGTAGAATTTTTTCTTTTGCAGGCATGTACACTGCTTATTGGTATAATACTTTATATAGGTTACTTCTCCATTTATGGTTTAACAATTTTCTGAAAAATTATTGCTATTTTGTTTGTTAGTTAACTAGCTCCATCTCCTTATGTTCCATAAAGTATATCATGGAGATTACTAAGTAAGTTGTAGCATTAATGTAATTAATAATAAGCACAATAATAGTGTAAAAAAAAACATAAAAATTTAAAAGTCAAGAATGGAATATATTTAGAATCAGAAATCAGGAAAAGTTCATATAGTTCAGAAGATATTAATAACCAAGAACCAGACAAGTCATTTAAATGACTTGAAGATCTTTCTATGCTGCAATTGCAGCTACTTAGTGCACTCGGAGCAAGTGTGAATCTTTTAAAATATATTTTTAATTGCTATATGTAGACAAATTTTGACGTATAAATTTAAAATCTGTTCAGTGTAGCATCTTTCTTACAAAAGTGCTCCCAGTGAAATGGAACACAATATGGAAATGAAATTTAAATCGATATTTCATGCCTAACTTCTCTAAAGCATCAGTCTTCTCATTCCCAGTTTGTCGTAAGTATTATACTGTTAGCAAATCATAAGGGACTAAAAAGTATGTATCTTTTTTTTCAACAAATTGAATAATAATTTTATAATATATTTTTGTTTTGAGTCAATTATATAATCACTCTCATTAACAATGATTTTTTGCCAGCTAATGGGCAAATTTTCTATTCTAGATGTGTAGAACAAAGTGGTTTTTGATCAGAAAAACTGAAAATTACATTTTTGACTTATTTCATATTTTAAAATATTTTCACTTCAGAGGCATTGCAATGACCTTAATCAATGCTAATCAAAGGCTGCGAGGTCAGGGGAATTGAAGTAACATCTCCCATCCCTATTTATTGATTTTATCAAGAGTCTTTTTTGCAGAATGTTATCTTGCATTGCCATGCTGTAGAAAGACATATTTCTTGTTGAAAAGGGCTAAATACTTTTCAATCAAGATTTTGTTTATTTGATCTTAGTGTTGACAGTAAAGTTCTACAATTAAGTTTGATCTGGTTCTAGTGCCTCATTTTATCCAAAGTTTTTCTTTTTCGTGGCAGAGTGTGGTCTTGCATTGCCATTCTGTAGAGAAATGCCTTTCCTGTTCAAAAGGGCTGGATACTTTTCAATCAAGATTTGGTTTACTTGATCTAATTATTGACTGTCAAGGTTTGCAGTTAGATTTGATCTAGTGCCTTAAAATGGCTTATCCCTCGAATATTACATCAAACAGGTAACAGTAGCTTTCTAGTTTATAAGCCTTGCCTTTGAGGTAGCTGATGGTGATCAGTTGGAAGGAAAGTGGGTTAATCTTTGGATTATGGTAACTCGGCGATTTTTGGCGAAAATTTGGCGACCAACCCTGTTACAGCAACCTTCTAGCTTTTGTTTGGACGTCATTTTGTTTTCACGAAGTAAAGGCAAAAAAATTTTTTTTTACTCAACATTTTT